CAAAGGAGTTATAAATGCTCGTGTTATTGCAGAACGGGGGTTGAAGTCAATTTCAAATTCTGCTGGTGTAAACCAACTTGTGAAACAATCTCGTCTGTTGACTTCCTATTTGATTATGGAGGCTAAAGAGTTGGAACGGCTTACCAGTCTTCAAAAGCAACAACAGTATCATATGTCTTCATCTTCTGTAACATCTATGTCAGATTTAGTATTGGAGGTTAATAATCAGTCGAAACGTGTCTCCCAGTTGCTTACACAATTACTCAATTTAGATCAAGCTCCTTTTATTCGCAGAGCGATTGACACTCTTTCAGATATTGGTCATCATACGGTAGGTTATGCTTATTTTACACAAATCTTTAGGTTAACTAGTTTTCATATAAGTATGGAACTTGGGTACTGTGGTAAAATAGAATTCCATATTAAATAAGTTTATGTGATATGACATACAGTATTGATGACTGGATGACGTTTCGAGTACACTTCATTGCTCATTGACAAAAATTGTGTTCGAAACGTCATTCAGTTATTATTATCGTTTCATTGTATGTTATATCAAATAAACTTATGTAATAAAGAATCCACTAGCTTTCAACTGAAGCTGTTAATTTCGTTTTATGTCGTATATTTCAGCAGCTCTTAGTTTGGCCTTGGAAAATGTGCTTATTGGTTATCGAACATTATAATGCTCTAAGTTCGAACAATGTTTCTCAGCTAAATGCGCCTAAGTCGAACGCTATGGCCACACTATGGTGGACTTTTGTTTTGTTTATGGGTGTTGGGCCACATAAATCTCAGCACTTATGAGAACTCTTCAGCAGGGCGTATCTGCAACTTTAAGGGAACTTGTGGTTTTAACCTGAATTATAGTGATAGCCATATCGCATATCATCATATGGATAGATTTCCAATAAGAACACTAAAGTCTAGACGGTTATAATGTTTACCATTTGACAAATTATGCGTGTATATAATTTGGCCCTGTATAGAGCCACTTGTGGTATGTATAGTTTAATAAGATAGTCGTCTACCTTGTACCACAATGCTTAAACTCCGCTTTCACTCTTGAAGGTCTATCCAGGCCTTGTTTTCAATTCTCTGGAGCACTAACAGTTTTCATTCGCAATATATACTTTTAATTCAGTACTCTCCTGTAATCCACTAGTGTATTTTGAATCATTTTGCTGTTGTCGTTGTTTTTTTTCTCCAGCGTGCTGAAGATTTAGCTCGTCGTCAGATTAAATCATCTCCTGGAGATGTAGACCGTTGGCTTTCTCTCATTAAAGTACGTTTTCGAGCTGCAAATGTTGAGGCTGCTAGAGAAGCACAACGAAATGCAGCATCAGTATTGAAAGCATCACTTCTTCCACAACTAGCAGTTGGGTAGGTTGTTTTCCTTAAAAATTTCTTGTAGCTTTTGATTATTTTTTTTTTGTAAAATTTAACAGATATACATCATATAGTATACAGTGAAGAGTTTTTAATTGACATTAGCAAGTGAAATTAAGGTTACTAACAAAAGAAACAAAAAGATGTCCTGCTTGGTTCTCTTAAACTTAGGCAGATTGCAAGTTCTACGAAACAAAACAAATCAGTTCCTGATTTTCTTTTTAAATTCTCATCACCTAGCATGTGATTCAGGACTCAAAATTCAAATGCTGTATGATATGTCACTATCTATACCCCCAGTAAACTTGCGGCTGATGTTATGGTCTGTTGAGGTAATTTGGAGAAGTGACTGATCGACTTAAGTACTCAACTTTCAGCCACTGGTTCTTGAATTCGAATCCCTTTCCTCCTACTACAGTCTAGGCAACCGAATGATATCATCAGCGCTGACTGACTGGCTTCAATGTAGAACTTTGCACAGATGTGCAGCAGTTCAACTTGCCACACTCCATGCATCACACAAAGCAAGAAGAGAGATTCGAAAGGAGGATAATAATCAGAAATATGGGGCAAAAAGAATAGTAATATGGAAGAACAATAAAATCTTATTGGATACGATAAACCACAATGAGTGAATGCATCTGCGCCATTCAGGACAATTTTGAGCCAATATCACCAATTGTCTCCATCTGCTGGTTCTTACCGTTCTGAGGACACCAACCAGTTGGAAAGTCTTAATCATATCAATCGATGTGACTTCACAACCTCATCGACTGATTTTCTCCCATTACCTAGAACTCAACCGATGCCTAACTTCAATATCGCTCACCTTATTATACCACTCAACCCGGTTGTTAAAATGCAAGCACCTAGCTGGCCTTTTCATGTCTTCCACTTTCAATGGCCATGTCTCATTCATAGCCATAAAGGAGGACGGAGCGGACTGCTGAGCAGTACACACATAACCTGGTCGATAGCCAAATATCACGTCTACTCCAGAGACGGCGTAAACTGGCAAATACGAACCGAGCCTTGTGTATCCTTGCTGAGATTTCGTCAGTGATCAACCCATTGGCGTTGTCTGATGCGACTTCCCAAATAAGTCAGGTGGTGGTCTACACGCTCTGCCGCTTCACTCCCTATTTTAAGCTAAGTGTCGACGTAGTCCGGGCCTGTAGCATCATCGACAGGAGCGAATCGCATGCCAAACATTGGAAGGTTTCTCCTCAAGGTTGTCAAGAGATTCTGCATTTTTTTAGCGTCCTCATCTAGAAGGACTATATCATCTGCGTATTCTAAGTCAACAAGATTATTTCTTGGTAAAAAGTCAATCTCTGAGTAGCTGATATCAGTTAGGGTCAATTCCACTAGTACGTCTATGAGGAAATTGCATAGAAATGAGGATATTGAGTTGGCATCCCTGACGGACACCACTAGTTCAGATGACAACTTGTAAGCTTTCACCTGGCTGTATGAGTTCGAGTAGAATTCCTTGTTCATTGCAATGTATTTTCTCGGCATTCCTAATTACAAAAAATATGTATTCAAGAACTATCATTAGGTATATATTTTCTCTATGAGAAGTGAATTCAAGATTTTTTTCTGTATTGAAATTCAGTATACATTGCAGTACAATTCATTAATATGTCCGTTTTCCCTTTGTTGTCTGCATTCTTCCAGTGTGGCTAGAATAGAATTTGAATTCGGAGATGTTGATCGTGGTATTCGTTTGCTACAAGAACAGTTAAATGTTCACCCTAAACGTAAACAATTATATGAAGAGTGTATTAAACTCTTGATGGTGAATGGTAAACTAAAAGAAGCCAGGTAAATCTCATATATATATATATATATATATATATATATATATATATATATATTGGTACAATTATATTTTTAAATTCTAATAATTGCTTTCAGTCAGATGAAGGTATCCAGTTAGTTCATCTACATTAAGGTTGTGTTTTACTAAGATAATCCTTAATTTATGTTGCTTTAACTTTCATTCATCAGGCAGTGTAGTCAGAAATTCTTCTTGGAGGAATCAACTTTTCTATTAATTTCAATTTACGAAATCTGCATGATAGCTTTTTCGTTAATACCACCCCCCCGCTCGGCCCCTAACAAATGGGTATAAACAGCATATATGTTCTCAATATCTTATTCGACCCTATAGTTGCTAGATATTTGCTTTTTTGTATTCGCCACCTCCAGTTGTCAGTGAATCGGCTGTATTCCTAATCCCAGTGTGTGGTTTCATGGATAGACAGTGTTCGGTGATATTCTGAAATTCAACAGTAAACACATGCTAAAACAAAACTTTAAGATTCACACCTCAGATTGTTTCCATGTTGTTTCTCAGTTTGACTGACTTCAACAGTACTATTTGAATAATACTTTTTTTTAAACCCTCTACACTAATCGATCACTTCTGTGTATAAAAGTTATTGTTGTAGCAGTCTCATCGAAATAAGTAATACCAACTTTTGTCTTGTACAAACCTTTTGTGTGATTGTACACAAGTACAAGCATCGAAATGTCAGAGATTTGATTGTGCAAACTACTGGTCCTACCAGGGATCTATCAGAACACTATCTTTTTATCTTCCATTTACCTGTTTGGGCCCGATCTACTGGCTTCATTTAAGAGTGCTTTGTAAATGCAACTGTTTCGTCCAATCAGGTTGATGGGGTCCTTTAACACTGAGTAATTTCAATCTTCTCAGGAATCCAACATGTTATTTCTGACTTTCCTTCCTTTTATAGTGGCTTTGAATGGCTTATGATCATTATTTACACTTATTATTTCTATTTTTGTTGTTATTCTCCCCAAACTTTGCTTGAATGCTAGTCATTATTAACACCTGTAATCGGTTTACTGTCGTCTGCACTTAGGGAACTGTATTTTTCAATTTTCTTCAGTCGAAGCATTTTATTGCTATCGTAATATGTGACTACCAACCGCAGAGTCACAGGTTTGAACTTCCCTCCGCCTACCGTGGTGGTTTAGGCAGCCAGCTAGTATCACTAGGCCTCACATAACGGGTGTGGTTCATTACCAACTTCATGGAATTCCAAGTGGCGTTTGTTGAGTGAAATTTCATTCTCATTTCATCTCAGTAAAGACTGACAGTTCCTTCCGGATAAGTTATCAAAAATACAAAAAAAACTAGTGCTTGTATCTGATCGACTAATGGGAATAATAAATGTATAGTGGGAAATTTTATTGACAATCTGACTGAGGATTGTCAGTTTTTATTTCACTACTTTTGAGTCTAATTTTGTATTTATTTGTTTTTGTTTCTCTGTTTCCAGACTTATTCAGCAACAAGCAGAGAAACATTTGAAGCCTGCACAGTGTACATCAATAAACGCACTTTTCGAAGATAAAAGTAAACACTGAATCAGTACGTGTTTTTCAGATCTCAGTGGGTTTTTACTCTTCTCTTTTCTTCATTCTACGACGATATAGTCGATAAAAATTGTGTATAAATTGAAATGTGCTTTTCTCTTTTTCACTGAATAAAGATTATTGTAAATTGTAAGTCATCTTCTACCTTTTATCTTTTATTATCGGATTGGATGGGTAATTCTTAACTGCTTCATGCGTGTTCATGTGCTCAGTACCTGTAATAAGTAGTGCAAAACACGTTCAAGAGTTAGACGAAACCATTATTTTACTGAAAAATTAAATGTTAAAAGTCTTTGAGTTGAGTTCCACTGTAGTAGTGCGGCGAGAGCTGTCTCCAAGCCAAAATTGTAGACTACAATTTACGTCCCGAATCGGGGTCATCAGAGAAAAAACAATAACAAAGCTTAACCTTGACGAATCACTGGCAAAGTTCTACAATAGCATCCTAAGGGAGGCGAACACACAAGTGACCTTCAGCCGACCAATCAGAAAATAGGAGGATTTTTGCATAAAATTTTACGTATATTTACACAAAATAGCATGAAAAAAACATTATACAGGGTATTTTTGTCTAATATGAGATAAAAAGATCTCCCAATTATATTGAGGAGTTTCAGTTTTTAAATTAAGCCGATTTCTATACATATATTCGTCCAGGTGACTAAAAATAACTTCGTTTTGAGAGCCGTTTATAGCTCTGATTCTATTTTTTAGTCTTCCTCAGAAACCTTTGATTGAATTAGTATGGGTACCGGTTCTGGGGTCGACGAAGTCATCTGAATGATTTACTCGATGATGTATAAATCCCAAAGCCGATAGTCGATTATATCCTGCCCATTCATCCGTATGAATGGTTGTACCTGGTAAGACCAGCCTTTGAATAATAGGGAGAAGTATATCAGCACTCCTATCCGGAATAAGTTCGATGAATCCTTTGCCCTAGCACGTCCTCGATTGTACTTCTTCTTTATAAGGATCGTTTCATCTATATGAACTACGACACCGACTCCGCCCAACACTTGTATAATACTGTTCATTTTCCATGATGCCAAATTTTGTCAAAATTCGAACCATTGCGCAGTTGACGTTAACGTATTATCTGTCTGAGCGGCAGTTGATCTCACTCCAGTCTTTAAAATCCTTTAATGGCACAGAAGCAGGATATCGGTCAACGAAAGTTTCGATTTTTCAAAGAAAGTTCCTAAAAGACAGTCGACGGAGAGTGTCACTTCCCAGTACGAACACTTGTTCGCTACCTACACTGTGTACATCTATATATATATATACATCAATGACCTGGGTATACGGCTGTTGGTTCATAGAAGCAACACAACTACATATCTGAGTACGTCCTATTAATCCATTATCTAGGCAGTATAGAAATACATGCTCTGGCTGAAATTTGCATCTCAGCAGATGAACAGGAGTCATTTTCGTGCTAGAATAATGGAGTTTCCTCAGCCAATGACTAGCAAGCATTCAAGGTCATTTGAGCGTTCGCACTCCTGGGACGCTATTCTCGTACTTTGCCGAATCACCGCAGACTTAACGTGTGCAAATATATATGGCTTAACTTTCTAAGAAACGGTCACAAGCGGTACAGAATAACCTTCAGCGAGAAAAAAACCAATCAGAAGACGTAGCTTCTCTGCTAACAATAACGCTAATAACAATACACATAAAAATCTACAAATATTTCTTGATTTTCTTAATAAACGATCTGTTGCCTGGCCCTTGTCTTCTGTCGTTACAGTAGGACAACCGTTGTGAATTTACTAGTTCCTGTAACCCCTCAGACCATGACTTCTAGTTTCCTTCACCTGATATAGAATTCTACTTTTTGATGTTCCCAGTCGACCAGTCTTAGATTTATGTTTAGACAACACATATCGAACTTGAAAGTAGTTTGATATAGCTATTGTAGCTTTCATATACAGTAAACTGTGCTGATTACGAATATTGCGCATTTATAGTAAGATTGTTTCGATGTCTATCGAGGGAGTTATGTGCAATGCATACTTATCGGGTAGGTAATAATGATTTGTGATTCTTTCACAGTCGAAAATTAATTTCATGCATATTGCTACATAGAAAGTTAAATGAGGAAAAGCGGTTTAGCAATAATGTTGACTAATGTGACATTATCTCGTCAAACCAGCAGACACCGATGATTCAATTTGGGGTGGAATTATTATTTCATGTAATTATGCTGCGTATTAGCAAGGCGAACAGTCATAAGCAATATGATAAGTACCACTTGTAAAGAGAAAAAACGTTGCGGAATAAGATCTTATGGAAGTATGGGATATGGAATAATAATCTTGAATTACTCAAAAAAAAGCAGCAAGTTGTGCACAGTTGGCATAGCTTCTTTCTAGCCGTATTTTAAATCATTAAACATTAGGTCACATATCCTGGTCATTTTCATTCTATGAAAATGATATACAACTTCTCGACTAGTGTACCGCCACCTAGGTGTTTACCATAATATTATTGAGAATTTCAGATGAAGCATAAGAAAAAGTGACACGTTTTCTCGCTAAATAATCAACTTTGAAATGTTGGATTGTAGACGTTCGATGAATTTCAAGGTAGATTTTGTCATGAACTCATGTCTGTTAGAAAACCACGGGGCACAGTGGATAATTGTTTCGTCCTAGTGTGGGACTCTTCAGCTTCACGTATACACATTTCCATCATGAACTAAAACCAGGACCTGCAGATTGACCATTCAGCTACTAAACCATCCCATTCCTCTCAATTCTCAAAATGGTGCATCCACTGACTTAACTAATTCACGTTGGTTTTCATGAGAATGAACCAACCAGTCATCACAACCTTTGTAGATCATTTTGATCCCTTGATGCAACCATGCGGGTGGCAACTATCGTTGGTTAACCAATTCACAGGATAAAACACCTATTGATTGGATGCTCGTTGTTATTAAATGGTTCGCTGTCTGATGTCGGTACATGACGAAATGTGCTACGGGATAATTAATTCATTGCTGTATAATATTACATCAGCAACATGCTGTTAAAAGAGATAGAAACACTAAGGATGTGTTTCATTTCTCAAACCTAAGATGAATTCTTGTATTTCATTTCCCTTCGACTTTCGTACTGATTAGATTATTTATTCTTGTAATGCTTTGTTGTAAATGAGTAGAATACTGATTAAATATTTTTGAGGAATACTTGGCATTTAGACAGATTTTTTACCCCTGGATAGCGACTACACTGCTGTAAATTACTGCAATACTACTAGGAAATCTTTCATCCGATGTATTTAAGTTGATTCCTCGTACGTTTGGCTTCTGATACTTTACCCAGCTTCTCAAAATGGAGCACTCAACTGTCGTAAGAAAACCCATTTTTGAATTTTATTGCACAAGCAATTGAACTACCTCTGGAGCTTCATTTCTTTGGTTACTGGCAGCCGAAATAAGTTATCACCTGAAAAACACGGAACTAAGGTTATCCTAATTTGACAGACATCTCCCTTTAGAAATATCCAAGTGGCTGTATTAGCATCACCATATGAGGTTGTGGAGTAGAAAGAAGATTGGGCTTCACTTAAACTCGACAAAACACATTCTATAGCATTGTAACTGATTTTAACGAATACGTAGTCTTAGATCAACGCTTGAATGTTTTGTCTCTACTGGCGCCATTTTTTTCACACAAAGTAAAAGCTTTACTGTGGATTTGTTATGCAATAGGGAAAACTGTATGATGAAATTTCTTGTTTTGTTGACTAGATAAAAAGGGTATCTCTTCTAATTCTTTCGCATTATTATTATTATTGTTCTTCTGGGTTCCTAGTAGAACATACGGCTTCAGCTGCACGTCTCCACTTGCTTCTGTCTTCCGATGTACTTGTTACCTGCATCCACGATAGTCCATACTGTTTCAACTCCCCTTCACACGATCTCCTCCATCTCACCCTTGCACTGACGTCCCACTCTCCGCTTCCCTTTCGGTCTGGTCTGACGCGCGAAATGTCACCCAGCGGTCTCCTCAGCGAGTGAGTGTCCAATTCATCTCCACTTTCTCCTGCATATTTGTTGGTTGGCGATCGATTCGTTCTTGTTTTGTTTGTTTGTTTTGTGCACATAGTTTCTTGTTGGTGATTCCTTCCGGCCGGCCATCTGATCTTCAGTATACAGCCAGAGAAGTCAGTTGTTGGCTGATAAAGGTCTGCAAAAGGTGGTTGGAAATATTCTTTGTGACCCGCCCGCCCGCCAAGTTTCTGATCCGTATAGAAGAACTGACTGACTTGACGTTGTTTGTATTGAAAATCCGACCGAATTTTGTTCTTGATGCTGGCTGAGTGACGAAGATTTCCAGATTGGTTTCAGGTTGGTTGATGAATGTGTTTCTCGCCTTCCCGATTCTCGCTCGATTGGACATCCTCATCCGTTCCGACTGACTGTAGTTGATACAATGCTCCCTAGATAAGTGAGTTAGTTAAATAACCTCTTTCAAATTCCTCCCGTTGATGGTGACTGACGCTGGATGTTGCTGTTGTTGTTGTTGTTGTTGTTGGCTGGTTGGTTATTTTCATAACCTCCGTCTTGTCTATGTTCACATGGAATCCTGTCTTCGCCGGCTGCTTCTTCGACCAGTTTGTCGGTTTTCGCTTGTAAGTCTTCGATTTTGTGTGACATCAAACATAAATCATCCACGCGCGAAATCCAGGTCTTCTAGGTTCTTCACGTCGGTCCAGACAGGATATCCCTGTCTTCTCGTTTCCCACTGTCTGACGCATAATCCAGCCAGTCCACCACAATTAGGAATATCACTGGTGATAATAAGCGGCCTTGTCTGTGTTTACTCCAAACGCCTCGCTAAGTTTTCTCATCATTATAGTATTGTAGAAATCCAATGTTCATTATTCTGACTACTTATAAAAGAGGCAAACGAACTGTTCAATTATAAGTTTCTAGACCCTAGATATTACGAATTTCCAGGAATAATTTGAGAGCCCAGTCAGAGTGAATCAACATAAATAGCCCCCGAATTTATTGGTTCAACTAAACTCTCATTCTGAATGGCATAACATTTTGAATGAATCAGATTGACTTAAGGTTTCCAGTATTTGTCAATTAAATGTCTTCTTTGTTTACGCTTATTCGATTGATAATATGTTTCACTCCTAATTGTTCCTCCTCTCATCATACATGTATACCCTTGGGTTCTGAGTGGAACAGGGCTTCAAAAACATATCTCCATTTTGTTCTATTTCCTGATATCCTCTTTAGCTGGGCCTATGATTGCCTCTACTGTCTCATCTGTTCGCATGATTTTACCCATGTCACCCTCAGACAACCCACTTGTCGTTTCCCCCTCGGGTTCCACTCGAGTTATGGCCTAGCGCGCGATGTCATTCGATGATCTTCTTAGCGTATGCCCAACCAATGATGAGTTTTATTCCCGTCTCATATGCTCCTAGTTTGGTATTCATATTGCCCATAAGGATTTTGATGTCGCCACTTAGGGTGTTGTTCATTATTGTTTTTAGTTGTCTATAAAAGTCTTCCTTCTTCTTTTGTTTCGAGTTGTTTGTAGCATTGGATAATTGTAACCTTTCTCCCTTCCTTTTGAATTGAATCTTGCTGTCATAATTCTGGAGGACGATACTTGCTCCAACTGTATTAGAGCTTTGGCTGCCACTAGTGACATCATGATAGCCACTGACTGCCTCAACGTGCACGTGGTTGTTGTCGTCCCGGTGACCAGACAGGAGTAGATTACTGACTCTCCAGTTGATAATTTGGCTAGTCCACATCCATTCCATTTGCTGTCGAAGATTCTGAGCACTTATATACCATGTCTTCTCATTTCTTTGGCTACCTAGGCAGCCTTGTCAGCTTCGCACATTCCACGTTCCTATTCTTACTCTTGCTTTCATCGAAAGATATATAGATATAACAGGGCTAAACACAACTGAATTATAAACTCAGTTGCGCCTAGTTTTAAAATACAAACAGAGTATAATAACCACCTGATTCCTCTGAGTGGTAGCAGTTCCCAAATTAGACGAGTTATTTTAGTAAAGATGAATGCTAGTCTTGCAGTCATGATGTGAGCAGCAACATCTAGTGATCAACAGGTAAATCAGCTTAATAGTGAAATATTAAAGGTTCTAAGTTAAAAATCCGTTAGAGATTATAAGTTGAAACATCCCTAGCGAAACCAAGAGATCTTTGAATCATAGTGTTTAAACTTCTTGAAGGGAAATTATTGAGGGCTTGATTATGAAGTTTGAAAGATTTGTAAATGATAATAGGATAGTCTCAGAGTTTAATAGCACTGTACAGCCACTCGAAAATTCCTTTCATAGCTACCCAAAAGGTTACATCTTATTGCAAATGATCAAAGTTTTTGCACTTATGGTTGCCCTTAGATATTTTGAAACTTAAACTTTCTGATTCGAAATCGAGTGGTTCTCTTCGACAGAATGCGAAAGACTGTTGTTTGTACGGCTTTACGCCAGGTTGAAGGTTGTAGCTGAATACTGCCTACTCTCACTTTTTATTTGTCAACTTTTCGTATAATTGGGGTGAAGTGAAATCGAAACTTATGAGTGAAACGTGGTTTTTGGCACCTTTTAAGATGACTTCAGATATGAAGTCTAGAGCAAAGATCACCTTAAGCAACACATGCACTCACACACAAAATACTACATAATATAATGTCACAAAGTGGAAGTCTTAAAATCTGATAAGCCAAGGTAGAGATATAAGTTGATAAGGGAAGCGTCGAAGACTGAACCAAAGGAGAATACATGCAATAGGAGTGATTTAACACTCGTCTAGAATATCTTGTAAATTTTACTACCATCTTAATGATCACAAGAGAAGAATTAAAACTTTAGAGACTAAGTATCAAGGTTGCGGAATCACATACGATATGATTATAAGCATCGAATTGTGTTTGAAACGTCATCCAGTAAATAATATAGCTTATATGAAAGGCAAACTAGCATGAGATTACATAATATCACGATGACCAAGTTTTACATATTTATTAAAATGTCATTTACATAGTTATTATCTATTTTTATTCCTTTAAGTCCCCAGTGGAACAGAGGGCTTCAAGCTAGACACTTGAAGTTTCGGTATCCGTGGTACTAATTTTCACGGGATGGGGTTGCTAGTTTTATGCTCAACCTTCCCTCTTAACCAATCTTATTATTGGCTTAGCGAGGTAAAGGAGTGCGTCTGTGCTTGGGGATCGAACCCCGGACCACATTCGTCGTTGGCTAGTACCCTACCGCTGGGTCACCGGCGCAAACAGTTATTATCTATTAAAATAAAATAGCCATTAATTTAATAGTTTTATATATTTGACTGTATTTATGAATTTACATAAACTGTAAATGTATGACATTGATCTCACACTACATTCCTGCTAAAAGACATGCGCGATACGACGTGTGAAATAAAGTCACTTATACCAACTCATATTGCTTATTAGAGAGATTCAAATGATCATAGCTCGGAAGGCCTTTATGTTGTCTTACCAACCTGTTATATTTTGTAAGTCCCATTAGTCTTCCATTAGAACTCAAGAACCATTGGATTGGGTCCCAGTGGCTCAATGGTCTACGAACTCACTGGCCTTGTAACCAGAAGGTCCTGGGTTCGAACCCCGGTGGGTGCGTACTGCTGAAGAGTCCCAAACTAGGACGAAACAGCTGTCTAGTACTCCCAGGTTTTCCAGTGGTTCTCTCACTGATGTCAGCTCATGGTGAAATCCTCTATACAATCAAACAAAATCCCCACAAAACCAATACTTGAAAATATAAATTTGGCAGCAGATAATGCCAGTATGCCCTATTGATAGCTTTCTTAAAATCCTATGGGCTGTGGAAACATCACTCTTCTGCAACATGTCTGTTGTTAATTTCCTATTTGTTCTTTGTGACTCTTTCTTTTGTGTTCAATTTATACTACTCGCCACCAGCAAGTAGTGTGAAAATTTTTCGCTTCATAACCATGACTATGTTTTCTATTGAAGCTTTAACACTATCTCATGTAAAGTAATTATTTTCTCATAGTTAGACATTATTTGCTGCTTATGATTTATATCCAGGCCTTTCTTTGGTGAATCTCTTATTCGAATCCTTTTTTCTTTGTCTGGTATTCACAAACTGTTTAGTCTACATGAGGATAGCCTCTGACATATCTCTTCTGTTTTTATTATTGACGCAGACTGATTTTACATTTAACGGCATTCAGCCACAGACACCTCACAATTTGTGTGTCGGTGACACAGCGGTAAGGAAGCTCGCCGACCATGCACATGTTCCGGGGTTCGATCCCCAGCCACAGACGTACTCCTTTACCTCGCTAAGCCAGCAATAAGGGAAGGCTAGCAGCCCATTCCGTAGAGATTAGCACCACCGATACCGAAACTTCAAGTGTCTAGCTTGAAGCCCTCTGTTCCACTGGGAACGTGAAGGAGTGAAAATATAGGCGATGTTAAACTTTCGACACCACTAACTACCAATCAGTGAATATATATATATAACATTTTTTCTCTCCAACTTCTCCTTGTTGTTTGTTGCCACTTTCCCTATCTACGGTACAGGCTATACGTTGTGTCATTCTGATTGCACGTGTGTGGTGTTGCATCCATAAACAAAGCTTCAGTGATTAACACCTCTCTCCACCGAACTATATTACTTTTTAATATTCTCACCCTTTCCCACCTTATTTTGTGATTACGTGCAAATGAATGAGATGCAGTGGCAAAGCCTTCTTCGAAGTCATTCAATTCATCATTCAGAACTAATCATTTTTTCATCTTTTTCTGATTGAACTTCCTTTAGCTTCTATTTCATTGCATAGAAATTAGTTAGCCTAGAATATGACCTATCTTTAATGGGAGATAATACTGATGCTAAGTATTTAGATAACTCGCACGTTGGGGTGTTCCTAAAGTCAATTGTTGGTCTAATAGGGTATCTTGCTTTAAGAATTTTTATAGTCCCATACATAATTATTAATTTTAGGCATAAGATTAAGCCATTTAGACTCACCCAAAGATGACTTCATACGGTGTACTAGATCGCCTGTAGATATTTTGATTTTATTCGTAATAGTATCCACGGGATTTTTAACTTCTTCAAATGGGCTTGTTTCAGTATGTAGACTGACCTTGCCTATGTAATCTGATTTGTTCATGACCACTGCTGCATTACCCTTGTCCGCCTTCCCAATCATAGTTGCTGCTTCCTTTTGTGATAGGTTGCTTCTTCCTTTCTTCTGGTGTTTCACTGTCAAGCCATATTGTGCTCTGACTTGTTCCGCAGTGGTTTTGTCCATTCCAGTTAATACTACTTCTAAACTAAGAATGACGTCTTCAGGTTTTAATCTGTTAACAGCTACATTGAAGTTTAATCCCTCTTCAAGTACTTTTATTTCATCAGAACTTAAGGTTCTTGTTGAAAGGTTCATTGACCGCTTTATTTTATCGATGGTTGACAGCAGGAGTTAACGCTTCATTCATATTTGGCATACTGCTAATATCAGCAAAACTGGGCGCCCTCACTTACAAGACATTGGAAATAGATCTTATCATTAATGTTGTTAAATATTTACCTGAACTAATTCCATATTTAAAGTTTGACTCACAATCTACTTCATACCTTGATGCTGTATGTTTATTTCTGTACACATTCTGATAGGTTTTATACTGGAGAATAGAAGCAATAAACGTTTCAAATTATACTGTTCACAAAAAATATGAGAATGTAAAGCTCAAACGATTATGAATTCAATAAATAAATTTACCATTAAAAAAAAAGAAGTGGCAATTGAAATGTATTTTCTACATCTGTACTAAGAGGAATTGCTGAAGTAATTCTACTATTACATAAACTATATTATAAATGTAAAACAGTAGATGATCACCTGTGCTATTACAAACGTAGTGATAACTAGTGTAAACATGATCAACACACCCATAGACCAATCATCACGAATATGTAATTGACCAGATTTGAAAACCATTTGTCCAAGTATAACTGTCGCCTGTTAAGCAGGAAATGAATAAGAAAATGATGGGAAAAAAGTGATCTGCTACAAATATGAATAGCTTAATAGACACCTGTTAACTCTAAATACAAATTGGAGAAATTTTATATTATTATTATTATTGTTCCCTTGGGTTCCTAGTGGAACATAGGGCTTCAAATGCACGATCTTTTCACTTTTGCGGCTACCTGAGCAGTCTTTCCAGCTTCGTACACTGTACGAACATTCCACGTCCTCATCCCTATTTCTGCTTTCATCGAAAGAAGGCAAATCGGCTGACTGGCTTCCCGAAGGTTTTCACCAGCCTGAGTCAATTCACTTCCCCGATTCCAGCGAAAAATAAGCTTATTGTTTATATTTTTAGTAGTTTTAATATATTTATGTGTTGAAGTTTCTGTAGCAATTTGTTTAAGTTTTGCGGGGGGTGGAGTTGCTAGGACCACGCCCCAGCCCTTCCTCTTTATCCGGGCTTGTGACCGGCTAGAAAACTAGCGAGCTAGTAATCTATAGACGAGGTTAAATTGGAAAAATAGTTTCCGTATTTAACTCTGACTACATATTGTACTCATAATCAAGCAAAGACAATAATGATGGTAAAAGTAAATTTCTGTGAGGACGAAAAACAGAATTTACACAGATAATCAATCAGTCAGTAGTTCAGCTTCGAAAGTCTTTTCCAAACCATATCTGGCTCATTCTGCTCTGAACGCAATAAACTGATCTCTATTGTCTTTCTGTACAGCTGACAAATCTTTCTTGAGATATGCACAATCACAAGAGGCTCCAAATTCAGAGAAAAGATGATTTTTCTTGGTGAAATTTTATATGCGTTTTTTAACAATGTCGTTAGGAAGCTACACAGGGAAGATTATTTTCTAAGTACAAAACAAGTACTTAGAAACATGTAGGATATTCCCAAAACTCTGTCCATATGGATAAATCACCAACTCTTCCTGAAAGTCAGAATAACCCTCATTCATTCAAATAAAATCACAACACATTATCAGTATGAGGAACAACTATAAAGAGAAGCATTCAAACTAGAGATTAAACAGGCACAAAGACAAATAATAAGGATAAATTCAACAGATGATATGCTAATGTCAGAAGAATGATATACAGTCCAGGAGAAAAACGGATAATAACTATAGAGTTAGCTGAGACGTCCATAAGTCTTTCACAAGGGATTTTCCAAAAACATTTTCCCGACATAAAATCCACAATGAAATCAGATTACATATAACTAACACACACACACACACACAGTGTTAATGAAGCTGGAACTCCCCAATTTCACATGGATAGGAAGAGCTAACAGAATACTGACAACGTGTTAGTTCACTACACGTACTCATATTTGTAATTTTAAGGAAGTTAGACAAATAGACAGTGGCTAATTGATTCATGAATGAATAAAGTATGTGACTATACAGAAATTCACAAATCAGCAAACCAATTTTCTTTGATTAATAACTAGTGCCAAGTGAAATGAAGTGGTGGTAATAAGAGATTGATTAGGAGCATTAGAGAAAGATGTTCAATAACTCTGTTTCTTATAACTCCACGTCTTTGTAACCATGCAGATAGTATTATTGCGCCTGTTTTGGAGAAACCCTCGTCTAATGAGTGATATGTCTAGCTCCACAGGCGTAAGTGAACTAGTAGACACGAATACTGTTAGTCCAGAGAGGGATCCTGTCATTCAAATTGTTGAACAGTAACATTTGACTGGGAAACACTATTCTCAACGATACTGCAGCAAATGTACTTTTCAGAGATTGTGAGATCCTCCTTTTAATAATATCGGCAGCCAGGTAATCTTTGAATTCATGGTTCATATGTAGTATTTTCTTGGATACGGACGTCTGTAAAATGTGGTGGATTTCCATTTTCAGTTAGGATTTCTTCTTCGAGATGAAATTCTTCGTCTGAAGCAACAGGACCACATATGCGTCGAGTACCAGTCGCAAGTGATGGAATCGGGTTCTGCTTTTTTCTAGTAGGTATTTAATCGTAGGACTTTGACAGCTGTGCATCGGTGGTAAAGTGGTTAGAACTCTCGCCGACCGTGCATATAGTCCAGGATTCGATCCCCTGCCGACGCACACCTGAGATCTATAGTCAGCCTGCAAAATTTGGGCTACCGATATCACATGCTGAAAATTCTATACTTGTACCAAAAATACTGTGTGGCGTCAAGCTGTAATCAAAAATAATAATAATCAGCTGGCTATTCCATGGCAGGTTGTTATAATTCAGTTTCCTCAGATTTCTGTCGTCCTTCCTTAATAAATTCACATCAAGAAAATGAATGTTAGACTCTTCCTGGAGTGTGAATTTTTTTGCTGGACAGAAACGATTAGATGCATTTAATATATTCCTCAAATCGTAATAATTGTCACAAATTATAGTGTCATCTACATACCGCATACAATATTGCAATCCTAGGATTGATGATTTATGCTGGCCATTTTCCTAAGTTGCCACGAAAATATTTTGCAAGTTGAGGGCTCAAAAGAGATCCTATCGCCATACCATCCCTTGTCTGTAGATTAATTTATTGAATTTAAATCTTATATTTAATATGCACCTAAATAATGGTTCTTTCAGATGTATAGTTAGCATATTTACATATGAAACAAACAGTCTCTGTCGGCAGGTTGTTGGGAAATCGGAATGCTACATCCAGAAATGAAAAATGTTTATTCAAAGCATTTATTTATTACATACAAACAACAGAATCTAAAGTGTAACGAAGGGGGTGAGTGAATGGATAGTTGTCTTCTGACAAATTTCAGCCAGCCGTCTAGATTTCGGATGATAAGATATCCAGATATATTTGAAATAAGGTGGAATGGTAGTCCAGTTTTGTGTATCTTCGTCAGATCATAAAGCATTCGTATTAGAGGACCAGTTGTTTTAATTCATCCATAAAGTTGTACTCTGCTCAGGTTACTAACCATCATTCCTTTCAAAATTTCCGTGAGTTGCTTTTTAGTTAGTTTGGTTCTGTTTCTTCCATTAACACGCTTAGAGAAATAGTTGACACTGGGAAGTACATGTGAATTTCTTTCTATGTTATCTTTACTATCCAAGACAACTGCACCTGCATTGTTGTCGAGGCCTGTTAATCGCGTATCTCTGTAGCATTTTAACTGTTTAAGCTGTTCTTTTTACTGATTTGCCAAAAGATAAGGGATCTTTGGTTTTGTGTTAAGGGTTACCAGTGCAAGAGTCAGTGATACTCAATTCGGAGCTATGCAAATCTTGGTCAGACGGAGGTATATGATCACTGATTCGGCTGATGAATAAATTTTCAAGGTGTACATGCGTACAAATCTTGTAGATATTCAAATTATTATTACAAAACTTCAGGTCCATAAACACGGCTCCCAGATGCAATTTTGATTAAGATATGGAGGAATGATTGAGTCCATATCTCGCAGGATAATCTGAAAATTTCTGAAAGCATTTGATACTGTTGAGTAGTTTAGAATTCATAGTTTGTGCGCATTTGTCGGCAACCGTAGTGATGAACTCACTAAATATTTGACGTTCATTTGAGGGCAAATTCTGTCTAGTTCAGGGACAGTTCAGGAACGGTTAAAATCAATATTATTCAAAATGTGTCTTTTCAGAGACTTTCCAGATAGTTAAATCGAAGCACTTTCGAAGATCATGTCGGATATTCACCATCCATAATGTATTCACCAAAAAACCTGGGGTTCTAGTGAGAAATCGTGACCAGGAGGGTGCACCAGGTCGGGTGTGAGGACAAATACTCGCCGAAGACATTGGCTAGGGTTCGCCCTATGTCATGAATTGGAAGGAGTTAGAATTCATGGGCCATTGGATCGAGTCCCAGTGGCTTAATGGTATACGAGCTTGCTAGCCTTGTAACCAGAAGGTCCTGGGTTCGAACCCTGGTATTGGGTGCGTACTGCTGAAGAGTCCCAAATTAAAATGAAACAGCTGTTCAGTACTCCCAAGTTTTCCAATGGTTCTCTAACTAATGTCAGCTCATAATGAAATCCTGTAACCAACCAACCAAATACCTACAAACCAACACTTGAAAAAAGGAATCTCCAAGATCATAACAGAAATCTTGACAGGATAACAGAGAAACCCACTAAGTCTGCTTACTACTGGGGGATATTTGTTACGTTGCAATTCATGCGAAAATTCCCATTTGGACATGTAGAAAGTGAAAACAAGTGATTCAGAGAAAAGCCTCTGTTAAATGAGTTTGCTTCCAAGCTGTACAATTGTGTAATAAAGTTTGGAAGTAATTTATTTCACCAGTTTTGTTAGGATTTAGGTTACGGATGCTATGTTCATGACAATTTAGTGGTTGTTTTCCATAATTCGGTTTATTTGGGAGCACCATAGAAATTTTTTGCTATAGCATATTAGGAAACATAAAAATGGTCAGATTTTTATTGATATTTTCATTTGATTATTTCGATTGTTGTAGACGGTTAATAACTGAAATAACGATTTTCATCAGAGATGAGTTTTGTGTTTGGATATATGCGGATCGATCCATTAATCAAGGGGAATAAATTGTGTCATAGAGAAGCAGGTTTCCGAACTTGTTTTAATTGTTGTTTAGGTAAATTTATCAATATAACTGGAGAACTGGCTATATGAATTATGAGCTTATTGTTTAATGAATCGGAACGAATTGAATTGATGTAAAAGAAGCTTTTACTTGAGCAAAAAGTCATATTGGTCACCATGTACTCACCAGAAACAGTTCTATAAACATTCCTATTGCCGAGATAATAAAGATGGCCTAAAATTGAAATGAACATATAGGACAATGTGTAAATAGGAAGATTCAAATAAATAATCAAGTTAGATGAGGCATGTATTCATTATTTCAATGTAAAGTTTTGAAGCTGTATAAAGATAATTATTGAATTTCTGCAGTACACTTAGTAGTGAAAATAATTATCAGTAGGTGTCATTCACCTTTTTGAGTGCTTACAAATTTCGTCAGTTGTGAGGCTGTTTTCTGCGGTTGCCTTTCCCTCTTTTCTGGGCTTAGGAATGGATAGTAAACTAGATGAGGATTAGCTCACTGACGAGGAATTGAAATACTTGAGTGGCACAGACACTTTGAAAACGAACTAGCCACACGTTGAGTAAACATTTAAGTAATATCTAATTCAAGACCTCTAGTGGAATCTGAATGGGAAATGATGAGTTGCTTGGGGCTTTATGGGAAAATGTGGAAGTAGACGTAGTGATAGCTTATGGGCAATTGTAGAGTCAGTTGCAAGTGATTGGACAGAACTGAGTTGGATAGAGGTGTAATGGTGTTGCCAAATGTTCCACTTTGGACGCAAGTAATGAATAACGATGACATTCTGGTTTTAAAATAAATGACTGTTATTTTTTACAAATGAAAAATTGATCTCACACACCGTTTTTAGTGGTTAGCTGCAGTATCTGTCTGTGGGAAATATTTCTCTGTTAATTACTGAACTTCAGCTTTCGAGAACACAATCATATTTTATGTGAGAAATAGGCTGTATAACAGTTGAATGACATAAATTATATTGTACAACATGCGCTTTTGATATGGCCGCCAAAACTAATTGGCAGTAATTAGTCTATTGAGCTAACAAACATTCTACCTAGTAGGTTTTTTGGCCTACTGTTCGCAACGACAACCATCACAACACGATCCCACTGATCCGTGACACTAGAAAGACAGGGAACAAGACAAATCGTTAGCTGGAGAGCTTTTACTTTCCTGAGCCAACAGCTAGTAAGCTCAACAATAACTCCATATATATATAGGCTCTTAATAACCCTCATTTTACAAGTTAAAACAGTTAACAAACAATAGGGTTTACCAGTCATGAGCGCGGGAAATACAAACACTGCTGAACTTTAAAGGTATATATAGCACGTTGGGAAAATGAAGTGATGAAATTTAGGCTAACAAATAAACTCGATCATCTGAGTATAGAACACTGTTAGGTCCTACTGTGAAAGATTATGAGCTAGTATTTTCCAGCGTGATCCGTAAACCAGACATTTAACTTTTACGTAGATAAAGTATGAGATCATACAGATTTCTATTGGTATGGGCTAACGAGTCAATTTATTAGCAATTTATTATATATATAAAATAACTATATAATTTGAATAAGGCATTTAAAAGACAAATTTCACGAGATGATATCGTCATTTCGTAGTTTCTTTACAACCGCTTTACAACTAGCATGGTTAACAGTAATAAAATAAAGTCCATGGCTCATTTATATAAAAAACAAAAATACATACTAATGACCAATAATATTTAAATAGGTCAAGTAATCCATGGTAGGCGAAGATTGAAGTGTCTATTGCATTTTGAACACAGTTAAGGCTGTATGTGATTAATCCAAAGTGCTTCCATCACCTTCAATAACCTTGAATTAGATTTATGTAAAATAATTGTGAAATAGTCATTAATAGTGATTTTGTGACCTGACATTATTAAGTGTTTTGCAATAGATGATGCTGGATTTCTATTCAGATTAATTGTTTTTAGATTTTCTATATGTTTTAGTAACCATTTTGGAACATGTTCTTTCTGACGACATTGAAACATTCTGTTGGTTCTATCTATATAGTGTGTGTCACTGCAGCTGCAGGTGAACTTGTAGATACATTTTGAAGTAGAGTCCCCAGAATTTCGTCCTTTAATCGTAGGTACAGGGATCGAAAATGTTCGGCAAGTGAGAAAAAGAGATGAGGCGTAGGATGTGCGTTTGATGGCTGACCGAAGTCTTTGAGCTGTCAACTGCATAATCTGGTCGCCCTTGAATAGTAGATTAATAAAGATAGCTTTCTTTGGTACAAAAGCTGTCTTTTCTAGAATTGGTCTATCCTTACCGTGACAATTGATGAAGTTCTCTGGATAACCATTAGCTAATAAAACTGAATGTATATGTCGAAGCTTATCCATCAATGTGTCACTCGTGCATATTTTTCGGGCCCTTGAGAACAAACATTTCACTAGGGAACGTTTATACTGGATAGGAACAAAACTGGTAAAATGAAGATATAGTCCACTTCATTTCTGTCTACGAAAAATAGATCGCTGAATTGTTCCATCATCTCTCCTGGTCATTGTAATATCTAGGAAACCGAGTTTGTTATTCAATTCGAGTTCGGAAGTCACTCGGATATTTGGATGAATATGATTAAATAGAGTAATGAAGTTTTCAACAGATTTACTATTATTACCAACAATGAGTGTATCATCTATATAACGTTTATATAGCATAAATTCTCCAAACATAGCTTGCATTTGTTTCTCCAGTTTCGACATGTTAGTTAGTTGTAAAGTGGTTGTAAAGAAACTACAAAATGATATCATCTCACGAAATTTGTCTTCTAAATGCCCTATTCAAATTTATCAAAAGGACTAATTGTTTTAACTATATAATTAGCTGAAATCTCTGACGTTATTGCCTTCTGTATGCAAAGATAAACACTGCCTTCTCAGTCAGTCTTCTGTGTCTTCTCAGGAAGGGAAGAGTAGTCCGTTCCATCAGTAATATATAGATAGCTGTCGAGCAATGAAGTCACATTTACAAAATTTTAAGGGATTATACTGTTATTGTGTTGAAATAACCGTCGAACAAATCCAGTACCACCATCGATACAACAGAAAGAAGTAAACTCAAATCTTATCCGTCAAACACTTGGGATATATTTCAAATGCAGGTTCAGTTGCCTAAACCCTGATGTTTTAAACAATATACAATCATTCAGTCTTCACTAGCAAACTACTCAGTTTGAATATATGACGTAATCACGGCAATAATATTTTCCTCAAAGTAATCGAAAACACCACCATACCAAAAAAAAATGCAACGATACTTATTGATATAACAAAACTTAGATCCAATTAACTTGTGTGAAGGACTGTAAGACTCGATGATGTAAAATCAGTGAAAATTGATCACAAGAAATTCATGTGAACATATTGGACTAAAACGCGTTCATTTATAAAGTCTTCTAAGTTGTTGGAAAAAGTATTAATAACAATTTAAATGAATAGTTTTGTCCGCTGGCTAAAATGTTGAGGTGAATTGGACTGAAATCGATTGCCATGAATACTTCAACAACAGCTTTCTTCTTCATCTTCTTCTTAAAATTATCTCCTAACAGAATCAGAAAGCAATTCAATTTTTATGAAATGACTTATACACAAAGCTGTATTGTTTGTTGTATATTATATACACTAATAACACCTTCAAGTATTAGTTTGTAGGGATTTGATTTGTAAAGTTTTATTCTTATATCAATGTAGGGATTTGACTGCTTACAGGTTTGGTCACAGACTAATGTCAATTGAAGAATCACTGGAAACTTGCTGGAATTACTGGACATTTGCATCATCTTTTGTATAAAACACTTTGGCAGTTTTCACCCGCGAACCCACTAGAGATTGAACGCTGGACCCACAGGTTACTAAGCTAATTCACTAACCACTTAGCTATTGGCACAGTGTGGTGAGAGCAGGCTGCTAGCCGATTGGTTGGCACTAATCTACGTTAAGGTCTAGGTCACTAATATGGGCCGTGAGAAAATATGAACAAGGCTGAGTCAACAACCAATCACAGCAAAGTTAACGTGGCAAAATGTGATTCGCAGATAGAGAACTCTATTTGTCAAGGAATCCCGAAACAACCAATCAGAAGCCTGCGTTTGTCTACCTAAAAACAACCAATCAGATGACTGCGCTTGTCTATAATAATGTAGTTGAAATATGTATAAATACGTGTTGATTTTCATAATAAAACGATCTGTTGCCTGGCCCTTGTCTTCTGTTGTTACATTTGGTGTCGCTGCCTACCGACAAATGAAAAGCCTATACCCTGCAGTTTTTGATGGAGACATATGGATCTTCGGGCAGGACTTCAAGGCTTCTGCGCAGTTGAGTGGCGTTCAAGATCTGTCAGCGATGGAGCTGCTACTTGAGACGCTGCTGGGAGGTCGGGCGAAAGCAGCATATGAAGGTGTGGGCCGAAGTGTGGACGAATGTTCGACAGGGCCAGGCAAACAGTTTCCAAAGTGGGAAGGACCATATATGGTCACTTCGAGATGGGGTTACGCAGACACAGTCGCAATGGCGAACAATGAGAGGCGCGTGAACGTCAGCGAGCTCCAGAAATGGATACAGCGAGACAAGCCAACGATGACGCCTGCACCAAGTAGATCAAGCCGACTTCAGTCGCACGTATTTGACGGGGGGACGAGTGTGGTGAGAGCAGGCTGCTAGCCGATTGGTTGGCACTAATCTACGTTAAGGTCTAGGTCACTAATATGGGCCGTGAGAAAATATGAACAAGGCTGAGTCAACAACCAATCACAGCAAAGTTAACGTGGCAAAATGTGATTCGCAGATAGAGAACTCTATTTGTCAAGGAATCCCGAAACAACCAATCAGAAGCCTGCGTTTGTCTACCTAAAAACAACCAATCAGATGACTGCGCTTGTCTATAATAATGTAGTTGAAATATGTATAAATACGTGTTGATTTTCATAATAAAACGATCTGTTGCCTGGCCCTTGTCTTCTGTTGTTACAACAGAAGTATTCATGAGCTAGTGGATTCCGTCGTAGTAGCTGGAAGGTCAACGAGTTTGCCTCGCACCCTTATGGCCCTTGGTTCGATCCCCGATGAGATCATGGGTGTGTGCACTGTTGAAGAGCCCCAAACTTGGACGATTAAGCTGCCTAGTACTCCCTGATGGTTTTCGATGGTTCTCTCAGTGAAATAAATCCGTGACCAAGAGTCAAATAAAAAGATACATTTAAACTGTTAGGCTGTTGACATACCACAGTTTTTTTGAAAAAAATTAGTACAACGACGACAATGCTTGTTAGTACGAAAATCACAACACATACTACCAAAATGGCGTCCAATTTCTCAGTCAAATCTTTCGTTATCAATACTCCCAGAGTGACTCCACATCCACAAAGGACAACAGTTGTAATCCAAGCATGGATAACTTGCACAAGTGAAGCATATTCAAAGAAAATAGACACACAAACAGAACAAAATATTCCCTAGAGTGTTGGAAAACAAGTGAAAAAGAAAAATACACAGTTAGAGTATTACTTACTTAAATTGTTTTGTAAAAAAGTTTGGATTAATTTTCCATGATGTGAACACCTAAACAACAACTTATGAGTATTCATTGAAGCCTCTCATTACTTCTTGTGGACTGAACGACTAAGCTCGTTTATCCCCGAACAAAAATGACAACATAAATACAAATATATGTGAAAGAAGAGAGGAATTCGGTTCACACAAATTATTATTATTATTGTTCCCTTGGGTTCCCAGTCGAACATACGGCTTCAACTGCACGTCTCCACTTGCCTCCGTCTTCTGCTGTACTTGTCACCTGCATCAATGTCAGTCCATACTGTCTCAACTCCCCTTCACACGATCTCTTCCGTCTCACTCTTGCACTAACGTCCCACTCACCGCCTCCCTTTCGGCCTCGTTCCACTCGACCAATGGCCTGATGCGCGCGCGATGTCACCAACCGGCCTCCTCAGTCACGAGTGTCCAATCCATCTCCACTTTCTCCTGCATATCTGTTGGTTGGCGATCGATTCGTTCTTGTTTTGTTTGTTTGTGCACATAGTTTCTTGTTGGTGATTCCTTCCGGCCGGCCATCTGATCTTCAGTATACAGCCAGCGAAGACAGTTGCTGGTTGATAAAGGTCTGCAAAAGGCGGTTGGAAATATTCTTTGTGACCCACCGGCCAACTTTCTTTCAGAAGAACTGACTGACTTGACGTTGTTTGCATTGAAAGTCCGACCGAATTTCGTTCTTGATGCTGGCCGAGTGACGAAGATTTCCAGATTGGTTGTTTCAGGTTGGTTGATGAATGTGTTTCTCGCTCGCCTTCCCGATTCTCACTCGATTTGACATCCTCATCCGTTCCGACTGACTGTAGTTGACACAATGCTCCCTAGATAAGTGAGTTAGTGAAGTAACCTCTTTCAAATCCCTCCCGTTGATGGTGACTGACGCTGGATGTTGTTGTTGTTGGTTGGTTATTTTTATAACCTCCGTCTTGTCTATGTTCACATGGAATCCTGTCTTCGCCGGCTGTTTCTTCGACCAGTTTGTCGGCTTTTGCTTGTAAGTCTTCAATTTTGTGTGACATCAAACATAAATCATCCACGCGCGAAATCCAGGTCTTCTAGGTTCTTCACGTCGGTCCAGACAGGATATCCCTGTCTTCTCGTTTCCCACTGTCTGACGCATAATCCAGCCAGTCCACCACAATTAGGAATATCACATAAATTTATATACACGTAAAATACAATTACTTGGTGAGTTATAATTGTCCCAAAATATACAAGTAAAGACGTACAGAAATGTAGTGATGAAGTAGTCTTTTTTAGTATGTAGTTGCTCACTCCAATCAAGAGTATGTCAACAGTCTGAGTGTACTTGCATATAAAAAATTAGATTAAAACAAAGGATCCGAATGTGGATGTACGCAACAGGTACGAGCCAGAGATGACTGGTAATAGTGGAAAAATAAGAAACTAGAGAGTGAAGTTGTATCGTCCGTACTGCTCGGTGAACCAGGTCGTGTCCTTATTCAATCTCAGTTAACAACCATGATGTGCAGTGAATTCATTATTTTTACTACTTTACAGTGAGCGTATAATCTGATATTTTACGGCCTCCACATACTTCATTGTTTGATTTCATTTGATTATCACTCAGCGATGAAAAGCAACAAGCAGGCAGAAGAAGCATCAAAGATAGGACTTCAAGTGAACAATAGAGAAAACACCACCAACAACAACAACAGACAACAATCAGCATAAATGGGAGGAACCTGAAAGAAACAACCTCATTCACCTACCTACCTGGAAAGCATCGTTTCAACTACAGGGGCGGAACTGACGAGAATATCAAAGCAAAAATCGGAAAAGCAAGACAAGCTTTCATTACTCTTAAGTCTGTGTGGAGGTCAACAGCACTCAGCATCAAAAATAAGATCCGGATCTTCAACTCCAATTTGAAGTCAGTTCTACTTTACGGATCAGAGACTTGCACTGCGCGTCATTAAAGCGTATTTCAAACAAACTTCAGACCTTCATTAACAGTTGTCTTCGCTCAATACTCCGCTCAAGATCAGATGGCCGGTCAGAAAAGATCAGCAACAGGGATCTCTGGCAATCAGCGAACCAACCAGGAACCGATTGTGAAACAAATAGGCAGGAAGAAATGGAGATGGATTGGCTGGCCGTACGCTGAGGAAACCATCAAGTGGCATCACTAGACAAGCCATCGCTCGAGTGGAACCCGAAAGGGAAGCGGTGAGTTGGTCGTCAGTGCAAGGGTGATTTGGGAGAGGTCATGTGAAGAGGAGATGAAAGCATGTGGGCAAACTTGGAGCGGGGTGAAAAAGTTGGCAGAAAACAGAAGGTAATGGAGATGCGCAGCTGAAGCTCTATGTTCCTCTAGGAATTAAAGGATATAATAATAATATATAATAATCACTCAACGAAAGGCAAGTAATTTTAGTTGGTGATTCATAGTTAAGACGAAATGTCTACTACTAGCCACTATCAATCACAATAATAACTGCCGAATAACTGAATATTAAAGTTTATTCATATTCAGTATCATTTTTCAATTTAGACGTTCATCTTTTATGACATTTAATATCCATATTCAAACTATAACATCATGTCTTCAGTATTTTTTATCACCAAACAGCTTTGAGCGCAGTATGTAGTGTTCACGCGTCTATTGGTCACACCTACAAACTAAGAATTCCTCGTTCCACTAACTGGAAGGTCAAGGAACCTAAAATACAGTAGATTCAACCACTAGTTGATTAAGACTGTTGTTGTTGGACAGTTGGAAAATTCTGAAAGGACAGAACATATAAACTGTAAAACTAAGTTTGTGTATCGATGGATTTTACTTTTATTTGAGTTACACAAGCATGAATAGAATCGTACATCATCATACAGATAAAATTTTATTCGATCAACACATAAGCTACATTCGATAGTAGCCTAATTGACTTGGATAAGAACGACATATTCCACGTTATTTTATTAAATGAAAATTAGTGATTTTAGAGCTACAGTGTTTCATTCTTAGTGAAGGCCTTTTGATGGCCTGTTTAAATCACTGGGCTACGACAATTTTCTTACCATCTAAATACATCGTGTTTAAACCTTTTAGTAATGTTTTAACTATACATTTATGCTAATGAATTGCAATGTTTACTATGGCATATTTTTAAATAGCTTTCAATTTATGGCTATGAATTTTCGCGCGTGAATAGAGGAGGAATATTGTTGATTGTTGGAGCATGCCTTGAAAAAAACCAATATTGTTTCGGTTGATATATTATTGTTTATTATGCTACTTGAAGATTCTGCAATAAGAAACGTTGCATCATGCACAAACGCTTCTTTCAGAACAAAGCCATTATTACCATCATCATCATCATCATCATCATCATCATTCCTCTGTCAACTTGTCACTTTTCCCATATATATCATTGAGTTTGTGAGAATTGATTCATAAATCATCCGAGAAATCCTAATCTCATTGGGTCATATTTTCAGTGTAAACTAAGCCCGTCTTCTTGCTTCCCACTGTCTGTTGTACACTCCAGTCAGCGACAGTCATGAATATCATCGGTAATAGTACGCAGTCTTATCTTGCTGTTGTTTCTACTTCTACTTTTCGCTTCGAATTATTTGGCATGTGGAATAATCATGTACCTGGTGAAAGAGTTTTAAAAATAAATGCAGCACTACAATCAGAAGTGTTGAGGCAGTTTTCTAATTACCTCATAGTCGACTCTAAAGAATGCCATTTTCAAAGTCGATTAAGTTGAGGCAGAGAGTTAACTGCTATTCTATGTCGTTTTTGATGATGATACGTAGGTGTGCATTCAACCCAAGCTTAACTTATATTTCCTAAAACCCAGTGTATTTTGAACTATGTAATCCAGCCGCAGAATCTTTATTCTCCGCAGTATAATGCAGTTACTTCACCTTTCCTTCCTTACAAACCTTCAGCAGTAGTGCCGTCAACATGTTCACTGAGGTATATGTATCCATTTTGAGTGATTCAAGGGGTATTCCGTTTGATCTTTCTGCTTCATTGGCCTTTAGTAACTTTATCGCCTTCATAAATGAGACTAGAATTGTTCATTCATTCACCTTCGAAATATTTTCTTTGTTCCTTTACCTAAAGTCCATTTCACCACATAAAAATTACCCTTTTTCACACTTAAAAGACAAAGGAATGAGTGGAGGAATATTTACTTTCTAGTTAGATCCTCATCTATGACTCTACCCTAATATAAAAGGCATTTTAAATACAATACAAAAATTCTTACCAATCTAGATTACTTGTGAAAATTAGACAAGCAGGTTTCTCAGTGAACAGCTTTGGAAAACAAGGAGTAATTCGGAAATAAATGAACGTTCCAACTGATTACGTCATAAGCAATTGAGTAGTCAGAATAATAAATAATTTAGGCAGTGGTAGCTTGTAAAAGCCTTAGTAGGTGGGGAAAGTCGTCAGTTTGACATTTTGACACTGACTAATTTTGGTTCACAGACTTATCACCGCTAGATTGGTAATTTTTTGTACTGTATTAATTTGTATATATATATATATATATATATATATTGAAGAGTAAATATTTCTTCGCTCAATCGCTTTGTCCTCTGGAGTCCATTTTTTGAGCTAAGCAAAACTAGGTGAACACAAATAAAGTTGTTTCCATCTGATCTGTGGATTACCTTCACTCGGAGAACAACTCATGAATATGTGAAAACTAAACACTCCTCTCTGTCTCTTTGGGCTACTTTATTATATGCTTACACAAATATATACTCTTTTGGAGATAATTGTACAGGCCAGACATTCTGCACACATCTCCGAATGCAATCCACTAGGTAATTAGTGGATGGTGACTAGCAGTGGAATACGAGATGTGCATTTCGTCCTATTTGGGACTCGTCAGCTAACCGGATGTACCTGCATTCCCCACTGAGTGATGATGTTCCCACAGAGGCTTGGACCCAGTGCCCATAGTTTCAAACGCTAAAGAGTTATCCACTAGACCACTTGGGCCACAACAGCCACCTCTTGTACAACGGGTCATATTAATTATTTAATTCAATTTAAGATTTTCCGATAGATTGATTGGATCGAGGCATTATGTAACAGGACGAAATACGCATCGTGGGTTCCACTGCTAGTCACCATCCATCAATTTAATTCTAATTACATGCCCATACATCGTCGAGGCATCTGCACAAGAAGCCGACATATCAACCTGAGACCGAGCACTTCGGTCCAATCAGTCGACGGGAAAATATAAAATTCAATTAAACTATCCACTAATGTTATCAAATAGCCACTACTTGTCAGACACCAGTTCATTTCTTCAGTAACTGTGAAATCCCCTTATAGATAACAATTTATTCTGATAAGATCACGCAGTGTTATACAGTAATATTTACTGATGACCAAGTTTCAAAGTGCGCCGGTGGCACAGCGGTTAGGACACTCGCCGACCATGCACATGGTCCGAGGTTTGATCCTCTGCCGACGCACACTTGATATCTATGGTCGGTCTGCAAAATTTGGGCTACCGATATCACATGCTGAAAATGCTATACTTGTACCAAAAATACGGTGTGGAATCAAGCTGTAAACAAAATAAATTAATGCTCATAACCATATCAAGTCACTCACTCAACTTTCTTGCTACATTTATACACATGAGTAAAAATTGCTCAGACATTTGAATAAAATCAATATAATATAAAGCACATTCGGAAACACTAATATTAGAGGTATTAATAAAATAATAATAAAATGGGAAATAAGATGTATTTTACAGTAAAAATAAGTAACTTGTTAAAATGTTATTATGTGAATTGAATACATTTAAACACTATTTATTATCCTCCTCTGATTCGACTGGTGGTAATAATATCTTCCATATCTCTGGTATTTGCATTGAGTCACTTCTATTGTATGTGTTAGGTGTAGACTACTCGATGAACCAGGATTCAATAATCAATCTCTCTCTCTCCAACTAGAATTTCGACTCTGTTCCACCCACCCTATTGTGTGGTTGTGTGTTAATGCATGCAGGGCTATAGATGTGTTTTTTCTAAATCACTTATCTTCGTAGGATCAATCACTCTAACCTCAGCTAAATTCTTATGTTTTGATAATCTGACTACTCCTGATCTACTAGTTTGATCTATGTAGTTGACCCAGTTCAAAGCCATTGCAAGTTTCATCGAGTAGTCTACACCTAACACATACAATAGAAGTGACTCAATGCAAATACCAGAGATATGGAAGATATTATTACCACCAGTCGAATCAGAGGAGGATAATAAATAGTGTTTAAATGTATTCAATTCACATAATAACATTCTATGTCGTTAATTGGCAGAAGTTGGAATTCAAGGACCATTGGATCGGGTCCCAGTGGCTTAATGGTATACGAGCTTGCTAGCCTTGTAACCAGAAGGTCCTGGGTTCGAACCCTGGTAGTGGGTGCGTACTGCTGAAGAGTCCCAAATTAAAATGAAACAGCTGTTCAGTACTCCCAGGTTTTCCAATGGTTCTCTAACTAATGTCAGCTCATGATGAAATCGAGAAACCAATTAAATCCCTACAAAGCAACACTTGAATACCAATGAGATGCCCACTGGCGACTGGCCCTATTCAGGTAGGTAGTTACCTGGGTTCCAGTGGGAAGTCGTGACCAGTAGGGTGCACCAGGTCGGATGTGAGAACAAATACTCGCCGAAGACATTGGCTAGCGTTCGCGCTATGTCGTGAATTGGCAGAAGTTAGAATTCAAGGACCATTGGATCGGTGGTATACGAGCTCGTCTTGTAACCAGAAGGTCCTGGGTTCGAATCCCGGTGGGTGCGTACTGCTGAAGAGTCTCAAACTAGGACGAAACAGCTGTTCAGTAATCCCAGGTTTTCCAATGGTTCTCTAACTAATGTCAGCTCATGATGAAATCCTGAAACATTCTAACAAGTTACTTATTTTTACTGTAAAATACATCTTATTTCCCATTTTATTACTATTTTATTAACACCTCTAATATTAATGTTTCCGAATGTGCTTTATATTATATTGATTTTATTCAAATGTCTGAGCAATTTTTACTCATGTATATAAATGTAGCAAGAAAGTTGTGTATGTGAGTGACTTGATATGGTTATGAGCATTAATTTGTGTTTGAAACTTGATCATCAGTAGATATTACTGTATAACACTGTGTGATTTTATCAAAATAAAATCTTATCTATAATGGAGTTATACTCTACTACAGTGCCCGTGTTTTATGCTTATATCAATAATGCAAAATCCCCTGTCACACAGATATACTAGAGTCTGCTTTCAAAGCTGTCGCTTTAAGCTCCAGCTTAACTGCTACGAAAAGATGTTGGGTACCGAAATATTTAAACGTACACCTTGAATTCCATTGATGATGCTTGTCAGTCTTCCCACTCCATTTGTATCTGAGTATAGTTTGCATTTGTGTAGTAAAATAAAGAATGAATATGCAAAACTTATGCACTGAAAATACTGATTTACTCACATAAATTAAAAGACTTATTAAAGCAGCAACCAATTTTCCTCTCAAACTTGTAAACGTTCCAATGACATATCCACTGACAATGGCTAACATGCTGAATAAAATGAAGGTTTGTGAAGAAATTAATGTAATTTAATGAAGCTATATTCATATGATGAAAATTAGAAGTGTCATTTCCAGTCTTCTGTTATCTACTAGAGACATGTTATTTAGAAAATATATTTTCTTCTTATGCTTTTCTCGCTTCTACCAATCGAATAAACTGGAGATATTTCCTTCTTTGTAACTGAGTATTTTAGAGTCTCTTGATTTCAGAATGAAATTGCATCGAAAAGAGCTGAACAACATTTAGTAATCCACAGCACTTTCATGCTTGTTAGACACTAACATTACGGACAAAATACCTTGTATGCTTAGACAGCTTAAAGCTTTACGCAACTTGCCAAGGATTTTGCGATAAATGCGAAATGCAACAAATTCAGCCGAATAATTAGGCACAAACAGATTAGCCAGAAGTTATTTTTTGAGATCATAGATATAAACTGATGTTGTCTACCCTCTCCAAGGCTGTCAGTACTTCTATTTAACGAAAATATCCCATTGAAATGCACTGGAATACAAGGTTACTTCATTATAAGTTGAAGTAAAATCATCACATTACTTGCTAAATAATACCAATGACTTGAATTAGTTGTGTTCTCTTAGCTGATCTATTCAATTGCGAAGCTTTCATCGTCCTTCTAGAAAACATCTTCAGCACAGATTTTCATAGAAAAGGAACTTATTTGAATTATTCATGAATGATGTAACTGTATCTCCTGGTAACCACTGTCGTGACTGGTTGTTGATTTACATCTCTATTCATCATTTTCATTGACTTGGAATTTGAATTTTTTTTTTGTCATATGACTTGCTTTTTATTAGCTGATAAATTTGGTCGATAATAATGTGTTTGTCAATCGCTGATTCACTTGAGTACCAGGTTTCTAGAAATTCCCTGGCATGTTTTGTATTTCCTCTATTTAAAATTTCTATATTATCCTAATCATCAAATTGGTATCCATAATCATCTATATGCATTAACGAAAGAATATTTGCCATGTCTTTTTACAGCCAATTTATGTTTTTTTCCGATTTGTATTCTAAGGAGATGCCCACTTCGCCCGACGTAATGTTTATGTTGCAGTTCATTCAATTTATTTTGTAAATGGTATAAATTTTATCATCCTTTTTTCTGTTGGATCCTTTGGTCTGCACAATATCGAGTGAAGTAATTGTGCTGGCTGACTTGTGTGCTATGACTATTTCAAACGGTCTTAATATTCTAGCTATTATTTCAGAGATATTCTTTATATATGGTTGAATGAGTTTTCTTGTGGTCTTTGCTGCTGGCTTGTTGTTGATATTATGACTCCATTATGTCAAAATAACCCTGACTAATATGAATAAACACTTTGTTAGAAACAAAAGTAATATATGTACACTAAACAGAATAGTGAAACTGAATAAAGCTTACCAAAACAGCGTAGTTACTGTAATATGAGTAGCCGGACGTAAATAATGTGCTCCACTGTAATCTCATATGCACTAGAGGAAAGATGAATACTTACAAGAAGTGTGGGACTATGACGATAATTATTGCAATTATAATCAGTATAATAGAGAACACAATCACCTAAGAGGTTAATTTAACTAACAATGACATGATATGCGACCTACACGTTTATCATATTTCGAAATATTGACGAAGTTTTTCCGTATTCTCTGATCACAATTCATCACAGTTAACTCTTCATTTTGTGTAGATAAGTTCTCTTCAGATTCATAGAAAGATGATTTGTTTGAATCGTTATTATTTAATATCATCTTCATTGAATTTTCAGCCTAATTTGAAATATATATGTAGAAAATGGGATGAATTATCCTCATTCAGTGTGTAAAGTGATGTGCAAGTACTTAAATAATGGGATAGTAATAGATTTGATTAATTTTCTGTTACATACGTACATGATTTCGAGTAGGTATGGCTAAACACTTGACATTCAGTCATTGACTGTTGGGAGTGAGTTCCAGCTGACCAACTTCAGTCTGTGTCGTCAGCCCTCTCTCTCTCATAGTCTAGCGTCTGGTAAATTTGCTTTGAGTGACAGATTACTATGCAAGAAAGTCAGTATAAATGCTCGTTTTTGTGTCATTTAATGCTGAATATAACAAAATGTATTTTAAAGGCATTTACTCAATAGCCGTCATTCATTTTTATGGAAGGAAACTGACAGATGTTAGTGACTGAATCCTTCTGATTTCAGATGGTTTGACCCAGTAACACTTTAGGCAGAAGTTAGAAAAGCAGGATCACTTCCTAATGATCACATATGCAGCGATATCTCTGTAATGAGTATCCGCAACTCCACTGAGATTCCCACTGAGTAACCAGATGTTGTATCCACAGACATCATCACAATGGCCACATCAAAAGACAACTTACCTATCTTATTGGAACAACTATCAACCCTGTGAGCCATATATTTCAAAGGTAACGAGTAAATACAGAAAATATTTAAGATAAACCCCACTTTAAAAGACAAAGCTTACTGTAAAGTAATTTAGATCAGAGAGTCGACTCATTATTCACTATCGGTTTATTTAAAAACCAAATACAGAACTAATAGTATCAATGCCATTTTAAAAATTAAAGTTCACAGAATTTTCGACGAAAATTAACTTTTTTATAATATAATAATATAATAATACAGTACTCAAATAGTCGGGATAGTAGGACTTAAATAAACATTTTAATATTGGATACCCAATAAGATTCATCGACAAAAATATCAAACCAAGAATTCGGAGAAACGAAGCCTTAATTGCGCCTAAAAAGAAATTCTACATTAACTTGGATTTCAAGGGAGATTTAGCAAGCGATATTCTCAAGAGAAGGATCACATCATCTCTGAGAAGAACATTCTTTGTAGCAACGCTACGAATAGTGTTCTCCAGTCGCCCAGTAATCTGCAGAAGCCTCAAGGACAAGAACCCTAATCTGACCACTTCTATGTGCATATATCAATTCACCTGCTGCTGTAAATCCAGGTACATCGGTCGTTCGACGCGCACCCTGTCCAAGAGGATTCAAGAACACTATCCAGTATGGTTGCAAAAAGGCAATAGTGGTGCAATAAGGCATGCAATAGGGCATGCAATAAGGCGTGCAATAATTGAACACCTGGTTAACACTGATCATTCCATTTCAACAAACGTCTCCTTCAAAGTAATCTACTGAGTCAAGAATAACCTAACAAAGGCAATACGGTTTCGTCTTCTTTGTATCGCTGAAGCTCTGGCCATTCACACAGGAAAACCGGAGTTATGCATACAAAAGAGGATTACTCAACCATTTCTACTGTCATGGTAACAACTTTTTATTTTATTTTATTTTGATGACTTAATTTTGTTTCTTTGCCTGTTTTTCAATTGCTTATAATTCTTGTATTCACTTAGAACTCTTACATAATTTCGTATTATCTACTTTGTTTCTATGTGCATCCTGAGTAAAACTCACTCATCAAACCATTCATATTATTATTACATAACTTCTTTTAACAACTGTTTGTGACAACTCATCACCTTTGTCACTACCATAATTTCATTAACACCTAATTTTCTTGACTTGTATTACCAATCTTCACATGTTTAGTTAAAAGTAACCTTAACCAATTGTAATTTTGTTTGACAAACTTAATGTACACATACATACAAAATAACACATATACGTATTTGGGATTGTACAGCTAAGAAAATGAATTCGCCGAAAAGAGACTCTTCGATGATCTACGTGTTTTGTTTTCATTAATGGCTGGATGGGGATTATCCATGAATATTGTTTTTAACATGGATAAACAAATAACTTCAAATATTTTCAACTTTGAAACACTAAAGGTAACGTCAAGCAATAAAATCGGTTATGCGATATGCGACATCAATTATCAAACACATTAATCTCAGAAAGAGGTAAAAAACTGACAAGAACAATAGGCAAATAAAGCATTTGGATATAAGCTGAAGAGGTGGATTAGACAGTGTGAAATGCCGACAGGTGAAATAATCCAAAAGACTGTTTAAATTGAAATAATAATAATGGCAACACTGTTGAGTACAATAGCCAATATTTGAGGACAAAATTAATATCTAGATTGAACAGAATGATTACTTTTTGATAAAATCCTGAAAATCTACAAACTATCCCCACTGTCTAAAGAACAGATTTGCTATAAATGAAATCCAAACAATTGGTGACAGTAAAGAATAATATTTTTGCTTGGATACAATAGATTTCGCTTTCGAACAAGTCTTATTTGATCGTTCCTCAATTATTATTAACGGAATAGTGTAAACGCTTGTTGACGATGAATTCTGATGGACCTCAGCTTAGTTAAGCTGAACTTCTATTGATGAATCCTTCAGTGAGCTGACTCTCTTATGAGTAGGCATAAACCCTGACAAACATACTAAGTGATCCTTTTTTTCCTTTTCACTGTAAATACACAAACTGATGAATGTGTCAACCAATTAATGTAAGATTAAATTACGTTGGTCAACAGTTAAAAAATGTAGGATATTTATATTCTTGTTTAGATGACTTTTCTACTAATCCTCTGAACTTTTATACAACTATATGCAAAGTGTGTTGAAAGCATGGGATGGTAGAACGCCATATAATTATTATTACTATTCGTCTTATGCTTTCCGAGTAGAACAACAGTTTCAACAGCTCAGTAGTCATTTTCACCTGACTACAAAGACTTCGAAAGAAATCTAACTACCACAAATGTAGTGAAGCCTTTTACCCCAATCTATCATTATGAAATCTCTTTATTTGCAATATGAGTAAAAGCATAATCTTGGAAGCCGAAAATGAGCATGTGTAAAAACATTAGTAAATGAATTTAGACACTTCATCCTTCTGATGAACTCATTTTCTTTGCAGTCACAACACTCCAGGAAATACAACTATTAATAATCATTTTGTCAATAACATTCACTCTCGTTTTACATATAATATACAGTGCAGTTTTATAACGTTGTTTGGAAATACTTAGGGGGGGGGCAGAGAATTTGTTTCTGCAAATTTTTAAGCTATGGGGATACAAACCAGTTAAATTAACACACTGACGTGATCAGTGATGATTCCAATAATAGAAGAATTTCTGTTTACTAATATAAAAGCAGTAAATAATTGAGCGAAGTAACGTATTCTCTTTACGTTACTTCAGCATCTTTACACTAGGATATATATATGTAGTTAAGCCATAAAATTATACCAGTGATGTACTGATGTGTCAGTCAGTAAGAGTTATCAGTTCTAAAGTATAGGATGGGATGAAATAATTAAGGCATTGAAGATCATTTAGTATGTGGATTTGATAGACAGGTTATTGGAGTACTACTGATAAATAAGTGTGATTATGTGGACAAAATGAATTCGCTTCTAAAGGATGAAACGAAGTTCCAAAAGCTTAGCAACCCAACAGATCTAGACGAAAATCCCGAAAAGCAGTTAACCAACACGCTTAAGGAGCTGAGAAAAAGTGGAGTAATCTCAGAAGCAGCCTGCAACCGTCTTAAACCTACTGGAAGTAATACTTCACGGTTGTATGGTCTGCCTAAAGTACATAAACCAGAACTTCCTCTTCGCCCAGTCCTAGAAATGTCTAATTCCACCTATTATGGAGTGGCAAAGTGGCTAGGTGAACTCCTCCAACCGTTACACAAGAAGGCGGTAAATCATAGTGTTAAAGACGTTTTTAAATTCATTGTTAACGTAGATGATATTAATGTAAATGGGAAGCAAATGCTATTCTTAGATGTTCACCAATGTACCACTTATGCAGACTGTGGAATTCATATGCCAACAGATACTAAAAAAAACAGTTCGACATTAGAATTCCAGTTATTAGTCTGAAAGAGTTGCTTTTAAGATGTACTATGAATGTACACTTCACATTCAATAACCTTTATTACAGACAAATCGACGGTATTGCCATGGGTTTCCCACTGGGTCCGATTTTGGCAGATTTAATTCTTGCTAAGGTTGAAAATGGTCCATTGAAACAAGTAATAGATAAAACGGATTCTTATTTTTGCTATGTTGATGATACGTTTATTATTCTTGATGTAAAAGCTGACAAGAATGAAATGTAATTAAAATTTCATGATGCATATCCATCGCTCATCTTCACTTGTGAAGGAGAACATGATGGTAAACTACATTTCCTTGACGTCCAATTGAGCAGAAGAGAGGATGGTTCACTCAAGAGAGATGTCTATAGAAAACCTACATCTGTAGGACAATATACACATTTCCTCAGTTTTGTACCAATCCGATACAAAATCGATTTGGTCAGATGCCTCACGAACAGAGCAAGACGTATCTGTACAGATGACTGCCTACAAGTGAGTTAGGATACATCCAAAATACACTGATCCAAATGGGTTATCCTAGTAGATTTGTAATGAGACACATGAACACCAAGTACAATAAAGAGAAACTAACAACAGTTAAAAAGAAACAACTGTTTATGGAATTGCAATTTAGTGGGGACGTGGCTAGCGAAGTCTTACATCTGAGATTATCGAGAACGATAAAACGGACTTATACTGCCGCCATCCTTTGTTTGTCATTTTCCAGCCGACCAATTTTGATTGCTCAAGTGAAAGACAAGCTACCCAGCTGTGCCACTTCTAAGTGTATCTATAAATTTATTTGCTCCTGTGGAGAAAGCTATATAGGGCGAACAACTAGACAGCTAATCAAACGCATCAATGAGCATCTTCCTTCATGGTTCGGAAAAGGTCAAATAAAATCCATAAGAAGT